CACGAGCAATGCTCGCGTGCCCTTGCTCTGCGGTTCGTGCCATCGCTACCGTCCTTCGAGGTTGCCCATCGGGCCCTCCTAACAAATATATTCACGAATATATTCACGCATACTGTCGGCCTGCAGCGCCGTACTGGTGGCTGAAGAAAGGCGCCTGCCCCGCGGTCTTAGCAGCGCGCGGGGCCGAGGCGTAATTGCCGGCGCGCGCAAGCTTGCGCCTTCGCTAACCGCGCTTCCAAGTTGCCTGTCAGGCGCTCTATAACCACAGCCACCGCGGCATCGCGGAATTTGATTTCTGCTGAAAGAGTTCGAGCTACGCCTCGCTCGTTCCTTGCACTCTAAACAAGTTTTATCATATGGAACTCTGCGACGACATGGCGCAGGCAGCGCTGCGGGTTTAGTTCGCATTTGAAAAACGCGGCAGTCTTCTGTCTCCTCCCGCCACTTTCATCGTCGTCCTATTCCCCGCCTCACCTTCTCCATGCATGCTGCTGCTTCCGCGATGGCCTTTCGCCCCCCCCGCCCTCCATTCCATCCCTCTCCTGCCCCTCGTTCCCGTACCCGTTCTTCTTCGATCCTGGGGCCTCAATCCTCGTTTTTTCGATCGTCGTCCTGTGAATCGTGCAACGCATGCGCATCCCATGTAGCTTGCGCAGCAAATCGCCGCGTCTACACTGTCGTTGTTCCTGCGAACGTTGGCATAGTCCACTTGCCATTTGATGCCGGTGGGTTGGGTACGTCGCAGGGTACTTTTATTATGATTAGTATTATTATTATTAGTAGTAGTAGTAGTAGTCGTCGTAGTAGTCGTTGTAGTCGTAGTAGTCGTAGTAGTAGTAGTAGTCGTAGGAAGTAGTAGTAGGAGTCGTTGCAGTAGAAGTAGTAGTAGTAGTAGTAGTAGTAGTAGTAGTAGTAGTAGTAGTAGTAGAAGAAGAAGTGGTAGTAGTAGTATTCGTAGTAGTAGTAGTAGTCGTCGTCGCCGTCGAAGGTAGTAGTAGGAGTAGTTGCAGCAGTAGTAGTAGTAGTAGTAGTAGTAGTAGTAGTACTAGTACTAGTAGTAGTAATAGTAGTAGTAGTAGTAGTAGTAGTAGTAGTAGTCGCTGTCGTCGTCGTAGTAGCAGGAGTAGTAGTAGTCGTAGTAGTAGGAGTAGGAGGAGTAGTAGTGGTAGTAGTAGTTGTGGTAGTAGTGATGTTCGAATTGTTACTATTACTATTCGTCGTAGTACTTGTACTAGTAGTAGTAGTCGTCGTAGTAGTAGTAGTAGTAGCAGTTAGTACTTAGTAACTCGTAGCAGTAGTAATTGTAGTAGTCGTCGTCGTACTAGCCGTAGTACTGGTAGTACTAGCCGTAGTACTGGTAGTAGTCGTAGTTTTGGTACTGGTAGTATTGGTCGTAGTAGTAGTAGTCGTAGTAGTAGTAGTAGTAGTAGTAGTAGTAGTAGTAGTAGTAGTAGTAGTAGTAGTAGTAGTAGTAGTAGTAGTAGTAGTAGTAGTAGTAATAGTAGTAGTAGTAGTAGTAGTCTAGTAGTAGTAGTAGTAGTAGTAGTAGTAGTAGTAGTAGTAGTAGTAGTAGTAGTAGTAGTAGTAGTAGTAGTAGTCGTAGTAATCGTAGTGGTAGTAATACTAGTTATACTGATAGTGCTGGTACTAGACGTGGTAGTAGGAATACTAGTCGTAATCGTAGTTGTAACCGAAGTAGTAGTCGTAGAAATATAGGTAGTAGCAGGAGTAGTAGTAGTAGTAGTAGCAGCAGGAGTAGTAGTAGTAGTAGTAGTAGTAGTAGTAGTAGTAGTAGTAGTAGTAGTAGTAGTAGTAGTAGTGGTAGTAGTAGCAGCAGGAGTGGTAGACGCCGGTAGGCCAACGGACGAAGCAACCAGCCAACCAGCCGAGGGCCGCCAACCAGCCAGCCACGCATCTCCTGCAAGGGTTCTGGGGGCAGACGCAATGTTTCCGATGGGGCCCCGTCTGCGGGGCCCCCGCCGAGGGTCGCCAATCAACCAACCAACCACGGGCGGCGGGGCTGACCAAGCCAACATATGATGACCTCCCGTTCGCCCCTCCTCCTCGTCGTCGTCGTCGTCCTGGTCCTTGTCCTCCTCGTTCTCGTCCACGTCCTCGTCCTCCTCCTCTCTTCCTCCTCCTTCCACTCCGGCGCCCCCCCCTCCTCCCTTCGAGCCCCTCCCCCGCCCCCTCCTCGAAAAAAGTCCGCCGCTCCATTGCCCCCCTGCTCCTCTCCCGTCCTCGTCTTCCACTCTTCCTCCTCTCTTCCTCCTCTTCAGAGACGATCGAA